TGGTACCTGTGGATGGAGAAGACTGCGTGCATGTAAAACTGCAATAAGCTCTCACTGGATCTAAACGGCGATGAGAGAAGCCTGGGTGAGTTCCAGTTCCACCCAAACTCTTCCTGTGGTGTTGGTTGGGTTGTTTGCTTGCTTGAAGAGCCTGTCTGCTCCTGTGTGTGAGGGGTGACAGCATCGGGTGCTCAGACACATGGTGTGCATGACCAAGATTAACGTGCTGCTTGTCACTTTGTGGCATGCCTATGCATCCTGAGGTTCTTAGAGGGGCTACATTTCTCACCAGTGTTCGTGGACCACACTTTGAGGGGTAAGGCCTTCTAAGGAAGCACCATGCAGTGTTATGAATGATGAATCGGTTGGGAGTCAGGCCCACAGCTGTGGGAAGCTCAAGAAGCATGGAAAGCCCACAAGGATGCAGGGAGCAGGAGCCCCTTTGGAAGGTTTTTCCAGGTGGGAGATTTCTGTCCAAAGGGCTCCTGAAGGCACCAGCCCCTGTGCACATCCTAGAACCCCCAGGAGTTCTGCTGAAAGCTCTATGTGATCTTGGGGCTCTCAAGAGAGGACACAAACATGTCACTGTGTGACATCTTGCACAGCAGAACATACTCATTGATGATGATTTGAACTAATAAACTTTTTAAATGAAAAAAGGCGATGTGACCCAGGAATGCTGTGTGACCTACGTTAAAGTGGATAACATTAACTGGATTAAAGTAAAGCTATTACTCAGCTTTATAAACAGGCTGCAGCTGGTGCATTTCCCCAGTTTCCTTGTATTCTTCTACATAAGCTCATGGTTTATAAACTGGGTTAGGTAGACCAAGTTAATTGCTACCCAGTTAACAAATATTCTCCATTCACCCTTGCAATAAATCTGGTCACACATCCCTGACTCATCGCTGGTCCCCAACCAGTTCCTCTGGCTGTTAGCAGCTCTGGGGTCATCAACGTGGCTACACCGAGTGGCACTGTGGCAGGGTGAGGCTGGTGTGGAGTTCAGAAGGCCTCACCCTGAAAGCCTTGGCACCCTGGGCTCGCCTCCCCTGCTCTGTGTGCTTGGATCACCCATTAGTCCTCAGGCAGCCCGAAAGTCAGGGCTGTTTCTATTCCAGGGGACCACAGCTCCACGAAGGCAGGGACTTTGCTCTGTTCCCTGGTGCTCCGAGTGCCTCAGATGGTGCCTGCTGAATGGCCATCACTGACCTGAGGTGGCTCTAAGGTGTTCCCTTGGAGGGTTCTGGCTAGGTCAGGCTCCTGATCAGAGACCCAGTGAGGATTTAGTAAAACAGTGGCCACCTCCCTCATGAAGCCATCCTGCAGAAGCTCCAGCAACAGCGGCGACAGCCCATGGTCTGGGTCCTTTCTCCCCAGCAGGTTTCCTCCACACACACAGCAAGACCATTAATACAGCCCGGGCACAGGTGGGCTCTGGGGCGAGTGAGAACTGGTCCATGGCAGGTTGTTTCAGCTGGACCCACACATGAGGGAGGGATGGGGGGATGGACTGGTCAAAAGGAGAGGCACAAGGCTGGCCTGGGTGGGAGGAAGGGGTCGCCAGGCTGGGAGTTCCTAAGGACAGTTGCATTTGAACAAGTCCATGGTGTGGGTGCTCCTTTGGTCTCGGAGGGAGTGAGCAGATTACCCCACTGAAAGGTCTGCAACGAGTGAAGACATGGCAGGTGGACAAAGGAAACGCGAGACAGGCAAGAGGGCAGCTTGCCCATCCCAGAACCAGGACATTGAGAACCCACTTCACCTGCTGGACTCTGGGACGCTGGCCTGAGACTCAAGGGGAGGAAGACTGTAGTCAGTTTTCCACCCTAAAGGACCAGGTGGAGACCAACAGGTTGACTGGAAAAAGCAGATCACCAGCTAGGTCCTGGGCTTCAGTTCTTAAAAAAATAATAATAATTATTTTATATATATATGTGTGTGTGTGTGTGTGTGTGTGTGTGTGTGTGTGTGCGCGCGCGCGCGCGATGTGTGTGTGTATGTATATGTATATAAATAGATAAAATACTAGTCATTTAAAAATCTACAGTTCAGGAACCAGCAGATGACATAGAGGTTATGTCACTGGACTCCCACGTGGTAGACAGCAGTTCAATCCCTGGACCCAGAGGCTTGAAACTCATGTGGGGTCCAAGTCTTTGCATGCCCCAAATCCCAGGAGAATGGAGAAGGAATTGCAGTATGGCCACACCCCTGGTGGGTAATTTCTGGCTGTCTGTTTTTCCCACAAGCTCTCTGTAGCAAAAATCTAAAAAAAAAAAAAAAAATAGAAAAAATTTTTCAAAAAAAAAAAAAAAAAACAAAAGAAAAAAAACCCTACAGTTCAGTAGCATTAACTACATTCACACTGTTGTAGTCATTGCCATTATTTAATTCTAGAACTTTCTCATCAACCCAAAAGAAAACCCTTTACCCACTAAGTAGTCACTCTCCATTCTCTTAACCCTCAGGCCCTGACAACCACTGATCCACTTTCTATGTCCACAGGCTTGCCTAGTCTGGATAACACATGTAAATGGAGTCATACAATGTGTGGCGTACTGTGTCTGACTTTTCTTACATAGGTTTTGTTTCAAGTTCATGTGCACCTGTATGTCATTTCTCTTTATGGTTGAGTCATACTCCCTGGTGTGGCTATACTACACTGTTTATCCATTCCAGTTGATGGATGCTGGGTTGCATCCACCTTTTGCCTATTGTGAATCGTACTGCTGTGAATATTGGTGAATAAGTTTTTGTTTGAAATATGTATTTTCTGTTCTTGTGGGCATATACCTAGGAGTGGAACTGCTGGGGTATATTAAAGGTCTTCAGGGAACCAGCAGTTAGCATAATGGCTATGTCGCTGGACTCCCACGTAGTCAACTGCGTCCCGGACCGGTGGCTTAAAACTCATGCCGGGCGCATGTGCGTGCGTGCCCAAGATCCCGAGAGGAGAATGGAGGAGAAGGGATTGCGGCGTGACCATCCCCCCTGGGGGGTGATTTCTCGCTTTCTGTCTCTATGTCTCTCTCTGTCTGGCGAGTGCACGCGCCCTATAGCGAAAATCTCTCTCTCAAAAAAAAAAAAAAGTTCATAGAAAACGTATATGTGGATTTCAAAAATCATTTTGCACCAAAATAAGCTTACATTCAATTTTCCATGAATATTGGGGTGGTTGAAATCAAGGCATGATGCACTTTGGCATAAACAAAAAATGCATCATGACTTTTCTGACAACCCACTATTTTGAAGTACCCATGTGCTCTCATTCAAGGCTTAACACATTGAGTGAGGAATCATACCTTTTCATAGGATCATGGGGCTGGATGGGATCTCAAAATTGATCTACAATAGTGTTTCTCAGACTTTAGGATTTCATACATCGGTAACACTAAATCTAGCCTCCCCATACCTCTCCTCTACCAAAGTAGGGGGGCCCTGTGTCCAAATCAAAGTGAATGTATTCAGGGTCTGGTAAACTCCCTGGCTCGCCCTTGTGTTTTCTCCTTGTGTCACCTCCACTTGCTGCTGGTGTTCGGGAACTTACTGGTCTGAGCCCCATGCAGTATTTATTCCCCTCTCCAGTGGCCCTGGTGTAGGATTGCCCAGCCTCTGCAGCCCACCTTTGGGATGGTCTACCTCCCAGGCAGCTTGGATCCCCGCATGCTCTTCCATTTAGAGTGCCTTGCCCCATGCCCACAGCCTTCTCAGCACTTCTGCTCCACCCTCTGGGGCCTATGGCCTCACTCCACCTCCCTGACTGGCCCATGCCTTCTTCAGCTTCCCCAAAGCTCTCTAACACTGAACATGTCCAAGTGAGGTACTGAGTCCAGGGAGGTAGAGATGAGCCTGTCCCAACTTGGGAGAATTCTTAAAAGAAAGAGAGGCCAGCAGGTGGCATAGTTAAGGCACTGGGTCCCACGCAGCTGACTCTGTGGTTCGAGTCTCAGATCCAAAAACACACTCTAGGTGCATGTGTGCACATGCCCCAAATCCCCAGAGGACACTGGAGAGGGTTTTGTGGTATGGCCATTCGGAGGGGGGATTTCTCACGTTCTCTCTCTCGTCTCTCTCCTGTGAGAGTACACAACCATGGCAAAGCCATTTGTTCTGTTGGCTGGGCTGATTTCAACTCAACATCACTCTCTGTGCTGACAAGCTGCAAGGTACTGTGATGAGAATGTGGATGTGAGGTGTGCCAGTCACCAAATCGAAGGACACTTTAAGGGTGCTTCATAGGGTTACTGTGAAGTTGAAGAAAGTGAATTAGAGCACAGCACAGGGGCCATAATGGATATCACTAGGAGTCTGAGCAGCTCCTGATGAGCAGAGGACAGATTTACCATTATTTAACATACAGTTTGGCAAACAAAAAAGGCCCTGCACAGAAATCACAATAAAATAATATAGGAAGTGTATGGAGGTGAGAAAGATGGCAACCCACTCCACAGAGCAGAAATAAAATGGTGGCCTGGTCTCTTATCAATGGCCATGATGGCTTTGGTGAGGGCTTAGGTAAGACCAGACCTTCCCCCAAGTACCCAAGAGTAGGAACAAGGTCTCCCTGACAGGATGGTCATGACGTGTCTTTCCATCCCAGAGAAAAGATTGAATGGAGATGGGGACAGGGAGGGACCTTGCTCTGATGTGAGTTGTTCCAATCATTGAGGGGCTGGGTGGCAGGGAGATGTGGTCCAGGCCCTAGGATGCAAGCCCCATAGAGGCCTGGCTGATGACCAGAGGACCGAGCTCTGTGGTCTCTCACGGGCTAGGATGCCTTTTCCCTTGCATCCGCAACCTTAGTGGCCACTATCTGCTTCTCAGCTGAGGGACTGAAATGCAGGCAGTGTTTAAGTCCACTCCTGGGACACCCATAAAGGAGGAGCAGAGCCCCTGGGGGCCAGTGGGAAGCCTGAGGAGCCCTCAAGAAACATCTGACTGAGAAACTCCACCACTCACCTCACCAAGAGCGCAGTGTCAGTCTCCCCAGCCCGTCCTGCAGAATTTGGTATTGACTTTATTGGGGAGCAATAAAGGTGTCTTTACATGTGGAATGGGAAGGCTGATTAACTGCACGCAGTGGACAAAGACAGCTAAAAATGGGCCTCTGCAGCACCATCTGCCAATGTCACCTCTGTTCTGGGCTGACGATCTTCCCAGGAAGGCACTTACTTGGAGGCACAGGTTGGTGAAGATGTCTCTGTGGCCACCCAGTCTCACACCTGCTTAACAGCATCTTCCGGGGCTCCAAGGTGAGGGCAGTGAGAGGGGTTCCCTGCACCTCTGCCCGCTGGGTCTGCTCCAACAACCGGATCAGTCTTCCTTTCCATCTTCCTTGCTGGGAATCCCAATGACATGAACTCCCAGTCAGGCACAGCTAGAGATGAGGAGCCCTCGGTGACCCTTGTTTGCTCAGGGTTCCAATGCCAGCAGAGCCATCTCAGCAGCTGCTACCTCTTGCTGCAGGCTGCTTCTTCAGGCCTCACCCACCCAGCCATGGCTACACCAGGCAGGTGGGAGACAGGCAGAGAGAGAGAAGGGAAGGGAGAGATTGATTTAAAATGTACAGCTGTCTTAGAGGTTTCTCACTGCTCAGCTCCTGTGAAAAAGACTTTCTTGCCTTCATCTGAGCCTCAACATCTTGTGGATCACTAATCACTCCGAAACAGAAGAGAAACTGAGGCCCAAGGAGATGAAGAAACATGCCTGATGTCATCTACTGAGAAGTGGCTGGGCCAGAACCCAGAGTTAGGTCTGACTCTGGATTCAGTGCTCTGTCCAGAGTTACAGATGACTCCCCCACGTTTCAAACAAAGGGTTCAAAATCAGAGCTCCCAGATTCAGCAGGTGTTATGGCAGTTAAGGTGCTAGACTTCCCACGTGGCCAACAGTGGTTCGAGTCCTGGACCTGATGGCTTGCTTTCTCACTTTCCTTCTGTCTTTCTCTCTCTGGTGAGCACATATGGCCTACAGCAAATTTAAAAATAATAATAGCCCCTCTTTAACGATATATAATCCATGAAGGTGATAAACTGCCTTTGCAGTCTGCTTCCCCAACTACCTGCTCTGCACTCAGACTTGCCCTTTAAGACCGAGCTCCAGGAGCCGGCAGGTGGCATGCTGGTTGAGGTGTTGGACTCCCACATGCCTGACCACACTGACATACTCTGAGGCCCAGAACTGGCAGCTTACTTGCTTTCTCACTTTTACTCTCTCTCTGGTCAAATTCAAAATACATTAAAAAAAAAAAAAAGACCTAGCTCCAGCTTTCCTCTGGGACTGCCTAGACCCAGCTTAGTGCCATCAGCAGCTTTCCTGACTGTGGACCCAGCACACGCCTTTAGCCCAGGTCCTCCCACAGCACCACAGCGTTCTACTTATGCTGGTCTCCCTAAGATACGGAGGCCCCCTTGAGAGCAGAGATGTCCCTTTTCATCTGTGGATCTAGAGCACAAGCTCGGGGCTGGCTCAGTGAACATCCAGTGAATAAAAGAACAAACAGGCAAACATGCTCCATGTGAAACCAGCTGGCTCCATACAACGGCCAGGCACTGAAGCAAGGAGGTAGGACCTTCCCCTGGCCAGTGGGGCTTGGACACCCAGCAAGGGCCAACAGAACATTGCACGGTTGCTGGGCAAGAATGCCCCTACCCTGTAGGAGAGGCCCAGGCTGAAGCACTCACTGCTCAAGGTTGCTGTGGTGAGCAGCGAGGAGGTTAGAGTACCAACCTCCCTCCCTCACCAAGGTCAGGGAACTCCCTATCCTAGTATTTTCCTGCCAAGCAGGCCCCCTCTGTGGAGAGTTGCTCAAGAGGGGAGGTGTTCACCAAGGATCCCCACCCAGATGAGGCCTGTGAGTGCCCTTGGGCCCACCTCCAAGGCTGGGAGACCTCATGGCTACCACTGTCCCAGTCAAAGCAGGGTTTCCCCAATGATGTCCAAGGAACTCCAGTCTTTCGAGAGCACCTCAGAGAAGCAACCTGTGGTGGGGTGAGTACAGCAAATGCCACCAGCCATGTGGCCCGATGAGGAGGCCGGCACACACTGGTGTGCTAAAGGCTGAGTTTCCCTGCAGCAAAGACAATTACGTGGCCTGGCCTTAACCCAGGGTCCCCCAAGCCCAATTGTTATGGAGCCTCACCTCACTTCCACACACACTCACCCCTCATCTTTCTGTATGAAAAACTCTCTTAACGCACTGTGTCCCGAGGAGGACACTTTGGATAATGCTGGTGAAGGCCATCCAGAAACGGAGGCACTTCTTGTGGAGAACTGCCAGACTCCTGGAGACAAGCTGAAGACGTGGGATGCAAAGGGTCCCCAGGAAGTGACTGAGCTCCTGAGGGGTGCCAGGACATTTCCCCAACCAAACTGCTAGGGAGAAAAAGTGGGGGAACTTTCTGAGTGCAGTGAGAAAGACAAGCGCGGTATCACCTGGACCCTCGATTTTCTCATCTGTGAAACAGGAATGATGGGCCTTGCTCTGTTCGGGGTCAGCACGGTTCCTGTGTATCATGAGTGTTCTCACTGACCCGAGTGAGAACTACACCAATATGTGATTATGATAAAAGCAGGACCACAGCAGAAAGCAGGCACCTCATCTGAAGCATGTAACAATGAGAGCCATGCACTTCAGGGGCAAACAATTTAGGCCTATTGATAACCCCCGAAGACATCAGCAAATTAAAACTGAGCCACTCCAGGAGCTTACAGGAGCTACTGAAAATACGTGAAGACTGCCACGCCTGGCTCCCACCTGCAGTGCAGTGAGCAGTATAGAACATTAGGACATCTTCCTCCCCAACCCTCCATCTTGCAGATCAGGGAACTGAAAGCTAGAAAGAAGGGAACCACAAGGTGGGCCCTATTTTTTCTCCTACATAAAGGGCTGTGTTTGCAATAAAGAAAAATGCATTTGATGTGCACATCCTGATTGCCTGTTGTATGCTGTATGCAGTGGGTTGCGGGCAGTGCTGGAATGGAGTTACATCCAAGGCATTACAGCATCCACATGCCAGAAGGACCATTCTGTGTAAGGAAGTCAATAAAGGCTTTCTCTGCCTTGGACTATGAGGGATGAGTTAGAAGTTTTCAAAGACAACGTGGCAGGAAAGGCTAACTTCCTACCAAAGTAGGCACTCCCCTAAGTTTAGGGTTGTTGCTGGAAGTCAACTCCTGAAGAGAGACTACATTTCCCAGCCTCCTTTGCATGCAAGTGGCACCACATGATTGCTGGTGGCCAATGAGATATGGGGAGGAGGGGTGAATGTTAGTTAAGGGCAAGGCAGGTTAAGTGGCTGTGCCTTCTCCACCATCCCTTTCCACCCTGCCAGCCAAAAGCAAAGACTCTGAGGCTTCTGGGGATGGCAGAGTGCAAAACAAACAGAGCTGGGCCCCTGAATCACTGCAGAAACCATCCACCAACCAGAGGCACCCGACTGGACTGTGATGTAAGAAATGGACTCTGCAGGTTGGGGTTTGTTATACCAACAAGCACTGCCAACCAACACAACAGGGACAGAAGGGTGTTCCTGCAGGGGACAGTGTGGCTGAGGCATAGTGGTGCTACAGTGAGCAGGATCTGATTCTGGGCCTGGGTCTGTCAAGGTGGTGCTGGGGTTCAGAGAGCCAGCTGGGAGCCCCAGGAAGAAGGGTCACGTACAGGGACGGCTGCCAGGGGCCCTGGTGTTGCTGGCGCTGCTCTCGAAGGAAGAGTGGAAGTTGTGAATGGTTTCCTGTAAAATCTGTCTCTCGCGTCCCTGCAGAGGAAATTGAAAACAGACACAGAGTCTTGTTAAATCTTTTAACCATTAATTCAATTGACACAGTGTTGTTAATGCTCAACTCATACTTGAAAAACCCATGGGTGCCTTGGGGAAAATAAATGACCTAATTGAAAGAGTATTGAGTTTAATAAAAACGCATTGAGTCAGAAACTCTCCCCACCCACCACTACAGCCCACCAGTACTGGAGAGGCCCTTGGGTCACAGGACTCTAGACCCCTGGATGGGTACGACAGGCAGGGTCCAGTAGGTAGCACTGACTTGTCCTGGGTCATTTGTCCTAGAAGGGAAGGCTCCTCCCCTGCCTCACTCTGTGTGTCTTTCCAGTCCTCAGATTTCCAGAGAACTCACTGGCGGTTCAATTTCCGTCTGCTAGCGGGTGAGAGGTTAAATTGCCCTTGTTCCTCCTTGCCCGAAAGATGGCAGACTCTTCTTCACGGTGGTTCTCTCCCCCATCCCTATGGCACACCACTTTCCCTTTCACACCTGCGATGGGAAAGGAGGGTGGATGTGGCTGCTTCTCTAGCCCCAAAAAACATCTTTGCTGAATACGTGCCTGGGAGGCAGCTTGGCTGGGCTCAAATCCCATCTCTCCCATTCAGGAGCTGGGTGACTTTGAGCAAGATATTTAACTCCTCTGGGCCTTTGTTTCCTCATCTATAAAATGGGGATACAACAGTTCCCCACATGGTTGCAGCTGACTTCTGACCCTGAGTGGCAGGAGGAAGCAGACAGGCTCTGCCCTCAGAGAGTGGCAGTGTGGATTAAACATTCATTTCTAAAATGAACACATGTGGTCAAAATGTAAAGCAAATTAAAAATGTATAATCTCTGGCAGACTGTTCTCTGCCAAGAGTGAGAAGAGAAAGAAAAAAGGCCACGGGAGGAGCTAAGACTTCAAACTTTCCTTTCTTTCACTTCATAGGCTCTCCTCGCCCCAGAGCAGCCCCTCTTCAGACCCCCAGGCAGGGACTTCCTGGGCTGACGAAGCCTCCTAGACACAGCAGAAGGACAGTAAGGAGAGGGCAGTAAGGGTTTCCCTTCCTGCCAATCCTTCCACATAATTTTAAATGCGCCAGAAAGTGCCACCAGGATCCCACTGACGCAGAGCCAAAGGCTGCAGGAAGACAGCACTGGGTGTGCAGAGGACCTGGAACCCCTGCTCCAGCGCGGACTGGAGGTGGCATCTCAGGCACATCCCTATCTGAGAAACGGAGACATTACCTGCCGGGCTGCGATAAAGCTCAACCCGAGCTGATGAATGGGTGACCCCATGCAAACGGAGAGGGCTAAAAAGTAAATGGCCTGATGAGAAGTGATTTCATTATGGAACATCACCTTAGCCCTCACCGCCTGAGAAATGAGGTCAGGGCGAGACAGGGTTCCAGCGCTCACTGCCGCTAACCTTAGGAGGGAGTAGTAGATGATTAAAACCATAATTGCTCCCTGCATCCATGACTGATTGATGATGATAACGATAATTGCCCTTTAAAAGCCCCTGTGTCTCAGAGGGCCTGATAATTCTCAAAAGGAAAAAAAAAAAAAAAAAAAAAAAAGACCAGAAAGTGTAGAGAAAA